TTCATCCAACCACTCCATGTCTTTTGATTGGATAATTCAATCAATTTGCATTTAGAATGATTATTAATATATGAGGGATTAATGCTGCCATTTATCACTTGTTTTCTGGTTGTTCTGTATTTCCCTTGTTTCTTGTCCCTTGTATTTCGGGCTGCCAGTTCAGTTTGGTGGTTTTCTATGATGGTTTTCTCAGTTATCTCTGTTTACCATTTGGGTCTCCTCTGATTTTTTGTTTAGCAGTTATGTGAGGTTTATGTAAAAGATCTCATAGATGATATAGTCCATTTTCTGATAGCCTCTTATTTCCTTAGTCTAAGCGGTTTCCATCCCTTCCCTCTTCCCTGTCTAAATCATTGTCATCACAACTTATTCCATTTTGTGTTGTGAGTTTGTGGTTACAATGAAGTGACTATAGTTATTCTTGAAGTTTTCCTTCCTTTTATCTTTAATATTATAATTCAGTGTTTAATAACCTGTTATGATAGAGAGCTGCAATTTTCTGATTTTGTCTGTCTATCTCCTTGCTCAGTGCTTTGTAAACTCTATTTTTTTCAGGTATGAAGGCCTTCTTCATCATTTCTTGTAGGGGGTTTTATGGTGATGAACTCCCTCAGCTTTTGTTTATCTGGGAAAGTTTTTATTTCCCCATCATATCTTAAGGATAGTTTGCTGCATAGAATATTCTTAGCTGAAGGTTTTTGTCTTTCAGAATTTTGAATATATCATTCCACCCTCTCCTAGCATGTAAGATTTCTGCTGAGAAATCCACTGAAAGCCTGATAGGGGTTCCTTTGTAGGTTATTTTCTTCTACCTTGCTGCCCTTGATGTTTTTTCCTTGTCATTGACTTTTGTCAATTATACTAATGTATGCTTTGGAGAAGGTATTTTTACATTGATGTAATTAGGAGTTCTATTAGCTTCTCTTACTTGTGATTCCAGCTCTTTCTCCAGGTTTGGGAAGTTCTCAGCTATTATTTCTTTGAACAAACTTTCAGCTCCATTCTCTTCCTGATCTCCCCCTGGATTACCTATCATCCTTATGTTGCATTTCCTAATTGAGTTTGATGTTTCTCAGAGATTCTCTTCCTTTATTTTTAGTCTTAGTTCTCTCTTCCTCCATCTGAAGCATTTCTATATTTCTGTCCTCTAAATCACTAATTCTGTCCTTCTTAATATCAGCTCTATTATTTAAGGACTCTAGATTTTTCTTTATGTTATTCATTTTGTTTTTCATCTCCAACATTTCTGATATTGGTTTTTCTTCATAGTTTTAATCTCTTTTGTGAAGAATTTCCTTTGTTCATTAATTTTATTCCTGATTTCATTGAACTCTTGATATGATAGCTCTTTTGAACTGTCTGTCATTTAGACTGTAAATTTCTGTGACTTCAGGATTGATTTCCGGGTGTTTGTCTTTTTCCTTTTGGTCTTGAGTATTAATATACCTCTTCATATTATTTGATGGGGTGGATTTATGCCTTTGTATAGTGATCGTATCTTGTCACAGATTCCACCTGCTGCCACTGGGAGCGGGCAGGAGCTGTGTATTCTGAGCCTGCCATCATCCCTGGCTGCTGTGCCTGGCCAAGCATGGGCTACTCCTTGGGACTGCAGTGGCCCTGTGAGGTCTCCCACTGGACGGTGGGATCATGAGGGGGCTCAGGGTTGTTGCCACCTGCTCCCACAGCCCTGTCAAGATGTGCTCCCACTTTTGGGCCTCAGAGGTACTATGGGTGTTCTCAGCAGGTGGGAATGACTTCACCAGGACGTTCAGATGTACAACTGCCTCCTCCTAGGTTGCACGGGCCATTGTGCTTGGTGCGTGAGGCCTCCCCATGGGTCCAAGCCAGGGCCGCTTCCTGGGACTACTGTGGCACTGTGGGTTCTCCCACCAGATGGGAAAGTGATCACAGGGGCTCAGGGCTGCTGTTGCCTATTCCCACAATTGTGCTCAGGCACGCTCCCACACTTGGGGCTGCAGCGGTACTATGGGTGCTCCAGCTGGGAGAGCAGTTGCATGCATGCACAGGGCTGCCACAGGGCTGGAGAGTGCTCACTCATCTCTACCACCTCCCCAGGGGTAGTCCATCCACCTTCGGATGTATAGTTGCATGGGTCTTTCAGGTCTCCTGTTATGCTGTGTGGGTATCTTCTGTTTATCAATGAATGCCCATTTAGTTGTAGTTCAAAGAGGGAGAGATAAAGGAAACAGCTCACTCTGCCAGGTTGCTGATGCCACTTCCTCAGCAGTATTTTTTCTTTCTGAGGGGTCCATAAAATAATGATATATCTTATAACTGATGGATCTTAGCTTTAATGAAATACAGTAGTCGACTCTTGCTCATCTAGAAATGGGTGATAAAGTCTACATTTTTGAAAAAAATAAATCACTCTGAGAAAGTGACAACATCCACATACTGGATGTATGCTAACCTGTAGATGCTCCATGGCCACTGGGACTAGGGAATACCCCTTCTGACCACAGTCATTTATGTGGCCTCCAGAATCTTTCTGATGTGAGATCAACCCCTCCAGAGAGCAATCAGTGGCTGCTTTCCCAGGGGAGCAGGGCCACAGAGAGGGAGAGAAATGGGGGGGAGGGGAAGGGCTTCAGTGGATTTGCAGCCATGACTGAGCCTTACCCCTCTCTTCCTCCTTGAACTCTGAAATAAAGGGGAAGTCAGCTAAGGAGCAGAAAATGTAACAGAATCTTTTATCTTCTCTGGTGTCATGTTTTTTGGTTTCTAAACATTTGTTCTGGAATTATTTTGACACTTTTGGATTATGCATAAAGGTGGTAAACATGTGTTGAATTTTTTTTTAAAGATTTTATTTTTTTCCTTTTTCTCTCCAAAGCCCCCTGGTACATAGTTGTATATTCTTCATTGTGGGTCCTTCTAGTTGTGGCATGTGGGACGCTGCCTCAGCGTGGTTTGATGAGCAGTGCCATGTCCGCGCCCAGGTTTTGAACCAATGAAACACTGGGCCGCCTGCAGTGGAGCGCACGAAATTAACCACTCGGCCACAGGGCCAGCCCCAAATGTGTGCTGAATTTTAACTCGTTTTGTTGTAGCTGTGATTTAAGGTTATCAATCTGTACACTGCAAACCCCCACAACCTCTCCAATTATCCTGGTTAATAAGTTGAGACTGCTCTTAAGACATAGGAATTATTCTGTGAAATGAATTTGGGCCACATGCAACACCACACATTTTGTCAATGATCCAAAAGGTAGGATCAGTTGTTAAATTAACTATTTACTAGGTTTACCCTCAATACCTGGAGACAGTGTTGGTACATATATGTCTTTCCAGTTTTACAAATTGCTATATGTAATATATAGGCAATATGTATTGCATGCAATATATATTAATATCTTCTCATAACATTAAATATTTTTAAAAATAGCAGTTATACCAATCAGGGTGCAGACCTATTTGGAACATTACAGTCTCTTGTAATATGTACCAAAATTAATTGTGCCCAATAGTTACGCTAATGTTTGAGAAATGATTTTCTCTTAAAAAGCAGTAGATAATTCAAGGTTTTCACTCTGATAAGTTCCTGTGTTCTGTTGTGCTTTCCTAGGGGGGGATCACAGAGGAGCAGCCTGACAGTCGGCTCACAGCTCCAGCCCTCTCATCTAGTGAGCAACCCTTTCTGAGATATTGTTACTAATTTTGGTGATTCAAAATAACATTCATTTGTGTGGGCTGCACTTTTACAGATAGTTCTGTTTTCCTAATAATTTTATTCATGGATCAGTTTTTAGTATAGCTTTAGTGAGATATAATCTACACACCATCAACTTCACTTGTTTCAAGTGTACGATTCAATGATTTTTAGTGTAATTTACAGAATTATGCAACCATAACCATAATCTAACTTTAGAACATTTTCATCATGACCACAGATAAATTCTTAATCAGTACAAATGAGAAACAAGAATAGTGCACTTATGTCTCCCTTTGGTGGTGGCGGGATGTCTTTATTTTCGCAGGAATAAATGCGGTCAACGGGAATTTTTTGGAACCTTGACAGCTTGAGTTTTAATGGAATTTGGGAGGGGGAGGGGGCGAGTGTGGAACTGTTTTCATCGGCCTTTCTAACTACTTAATTCAGAGGGGTGTTTAAAAATGCCCTTAAAATGTTCTCTATAAGTGTTTGCTATTTACCATTCCCATGTGGTCCTTTCCCACTGATAGTTTATTACAAAAAATTTTCAAACCTACAGCAAAGTTGAAAGAATTCTGTAGTGAGCACCCATATACCGACCACCTAGATTCTCTTGTTGTCTCTTTCTCTTGTGTGTGTTATTTCTCATCTGTAATTACATGACAGCTCTTAAGTGCTGGTGTTTCCCCATCACTCAAAGCTACTCTCGGTGATACCTGGTGCTGTGAGGTTAGTTCTTCACAGAACGTTGAAGCATAGTCTTTACCTGGATGATTTTTTCTAAGATTCTTAACACACTAAGAAACATATTTTTAGGATTGGTCTATCACAGTTCTAGGTTGCAATTCTGGCTGCACTTTTGAGAAGGCTGACTGTCATGGCCCCTTTCTCTTGACAGTGGGGCCCCCAGCTAACCTTTCAGCTTTGAACAGAAAAGCCCTGTGTTCTGGATCTTATCTCCCATTTAAATAATTAAAAATGACCATCTTCCCATAAATTCAATTCTCAGTCACTTATGGAAGAAATCTGGGCTAACAGTTTGAAAAATCAAAATTTAAAAATAATCTAGAAAACTTGCTTTCATTTCAAACTCTAACACTCAATGAAATTATTTTTAAGAAAAATTCAGTAACCAGGTGTTAATTCTCTGAGCTTTCCTCCTTGTTCTGCTTGTGGTGCAAGAAATGAAACTAGAAGGAAAAGAGAAGATGGAAAGAGAATAGAGAATAGACATTCTCCCCTCGGATTATTAGAATTCATTGAACTGTTCATTTCCTCTCCCTGAGGTTCGCACCAAAATTGCAGTAACTGGACAGTCACTTACATAGAATGAGGCTCAAACAGATCTCTGGAGATCTCCTGGATGTCTGTTAGGAGAACAGTCTCCAAATAGCAAGTGTCCAACTCTTTTCACATGTCTTAGGCAGAAGGCAGTTGTGTCTACTGGGCAGGCAGCTAACCGCTTGGTAAAAGCAGCACAGGAAGCCCGTTGCTCTGGGCATTGTTCTCCTGCTCCTGCATCATAATGAGCGGACACAGTCTCTGAGGTAAGAGAGGAACACTGGGCAGGGGCCCCGAAGGTCAGCCCCTGAGACGGAGGGTTGCCCGCATTCCCGAGAGCTCAGATGGCTTAGCAATGGTAGCTCTGGCTGTGGCGTGTTGTTTTCAGAGGCTTCCCTGGAGAGAAAAGTCAAGTTAGCAGTAGAATCACCATGGAAAAGATGTCTCACTGAGAACGTTGAAAACACTTTGTATCGTTTATCGTTCAACTGATAATTTATCATTCAGTCTCCCTGTATCTCAACTTTCAGAGACTTAAACATACTTAAGTCACCATGAGCTTCTGTGAAGAAAAACTTCGAAAGAATGTAGCCTCTTTATCTTCACACCTCCAGCATCTGGTGTGTTCTGGACACATGCTATCGTGGGCACTCAGTAATTGTTTGTTGCATGAATGAATAAAGATAAACAAATGCATGGCTTCTCTCGGAAGCTCGCCTCTCTCTTGAGGACACGCGGTTAGCACGCGTCCTCCCCTTGCTGTGCGGTGAGGCGCTTCCCCGCCACCCCGATCCTATCATCCTCCTTCACCTTTGTATTTTCATTGAGTGCTGCAGGCACCCACCTGTCCAGCTACCTCCTCACCTTCTCATAAGCATGGAAGGGCACAAGCGGACACTAACTGACCACTCAGGCCTGGAGGGCAAGACCTTGGTGAATTCACTTCATTTGGGTCACCATATTCCTGACTCAAACACTTGCTTCTGACAGGGCCCAGAGAACATTTGGTCTCTCAGAATAAGCATGAACTATCTGAGTTTTTCAGAGGATGATAGTGTTCCTATTTCCTCAAGAACGGTCATTTCCATTTGGGACCAGGTGTTGGTGTCATGGAGACTGAGGAAGCATATCAGGCGGTTTTCCCAGAAGCAGAGTTGAAGGCCGGATGTACAACTTGGGATGTTTCATGGCGACAGGCGCTGGTGATAGTTCTCTGCATACAACTGGCTCAGTCTGCCGGCGAGGGCAGGCTCGCCTCTCCACGTGCGAGCTCAAAAGGTTGCCTGTTATTTTGACTCTCTCGTCTTCTCTCCGGAATGCCCCCTTTCGGATGGACAAATTCTTCCTCTAGTCATATGAGTCCCACTGACTAGATTTCTATCACCCATGTCTTCACTCAGCATGTTTACTGCATGATCACCATTTATCATGTTTCTGTTCTTCCTGACTCAGGACCGGGAATGTTTTTGCATAAATCTGAGCTCATGTCTTCCGTGTGGAGGCTATTAATTTAATTGTGACCTACTTTGAAGAAACTCTTTGGTATTACCTCACTTCCATTTTTTTGAGGCTACTCGTATGTTAAAAGGTAAAGAAATAACAAAAGAAAGACATAAAAAAAATTATGGTATATTTTAAATATTTACCTTTAAAATAGTAATGTTTTTAAGCATGAGCAGAATATAAAAACATTAGCATAACTCATTTGAAGATGATGCCACAAGTCAAAGTTTGAGGTGCTTTGTTGAAGTGAGGTCCATAAGCACTTAGCCCTGTCCTCATCCCTAATGAGAAGTGCCCGCTTGCTCATGCCTGCATGGGGTGCTCTCTGCTGCATGTTCCGAGCTTGGGCTATGAAGGTATTCTGCCAGGTTCTGTCTCTGGCTCTCTGGTGAGCGCTATACCAGGTGGATTCTCTTGGTCAGTTCAGTAATGAGTACCTACAATTTACTGGGCACCATGCCATGCTGGGGCTACAAAAATGAACAGTCTCTGCCCCCAAGGACTTACCATCAAGTGGAAGAGGTGTCATGTACCCAGATTATTCCAATGAGATGCAGTGATAAGTGGGGATTTAGGGAAGTGTTCCTGGAGGAGTTCATGCCCAAGCTAAATCTTGAACAATTAGCCAGCCTGAGCAAAGGTGCTGAGGCATAAAATGAGATGGTTTGAAGGGGTAACTGCAAATGGTCTGGTGTTACATTAAGTTGGAGGGGGAAAAAAATGAAGTTGGAGGAGGGAGGGGCTTGGGCCCCATCTGCTGCAGTGGTTTGCTAACGGAGACTTTCCGCACGGGGAGATTGAGCACTCTGGTGGCAGCATGAAGGATGGCTTTGGGGAGGGCAATTCTGGAGGCACAAAGACCAAGGTAGTAGCAGTGGGAATAGAAAAGAAAGGGCTGATTTAGGAACTATTAGCAGACTTGACAGAATTTGATGACTAACTGGACGTGGGGATGAGAAGAAAGAACTACTCAGGTTTCCGGTTTGGGAAACTGGGTAAATGGTGATGTCATTAACCCGGAGACAAAATACAGGCAGAGGAGCAGGTATAGGAGGCACAGAGAACGAGGTCCTTGTTTGCAGGAATGCTTGTCTAGCATGGCGCCTTATATTCAATAGGTGTAGTAAACAGATTTTTTTTTCTTAAACCTTCGGTGGCTTCCCAATGCTCTTAGAATATTTGACATAAATCCCAAGGGCCATGTGTGTGTCTTTAGTATTACACCCAAGAGCAAGTGTGCATTTGTGGGCATGACCAGGCTCCAGCCTGGCTTCAGTTCTAACTATACCTCAGACCACTTCCCTCTCCCTCATCATGCTTCTGCCTCCTTTCTAATACTGTATTCTTGAACCCCTTTCCTCTGTCTGAAATTTTCTTCTCTCAATTCTTAACATGCGTTTATCTTCATTCTTCAGATCTGAGTACAAATGTCACCTGTTTAGAGAGCCCTTCCTCCCTCACCTGACAAGTGATTGTCTCTCAGCTCCACATCCACCACTGCATTCCACGTGTGATGCTGGGGCTGGAACCACATTTCTTTCACAGGCGGCTTCCTGTTGAGGTCAACAATAGGTTGCATTAGACTACAGGGAGCTTTGGAAGCAGAGGGACGGAAACAACTTGTGCTCCTTCCTGTTTGCTTCCTGTCTCTGTCAGGGTCACCCTGGCAACAGCAACTGGTTCTGGCCTCCATTTTTTTTTTTCTTTTGCGGCACTCTCAGAATCAGCAGCTGAAGATTGAGTTCTAGCTCCAAAGGGTTTGACCTCTGAGCTTCCAGATTCTTATTACTCTAACCTCTTCCTCCTGCCTCCCTGGCCCTAGTTGTGGTAGTTGCTTCCTTTCGTTAATATCTCTGACGTCTCAGTGTTTCCTTTGTGCTTTTCCAGGTCTCCAACACCTATTTACCTTATTCCTACATTAAAGTCTTTTAGTGCAATTTCCACCTTTTTAAATGGCTGGACCTGACACAACAACCGAGTATGATTTAGGCTTTCAACCAGTTACTTTCTAACATATCAGTGGATTTTCTTCATAGACTTTTCATAATTTATATTTCAAAAAAAATTTTTTTTTGTTGCTTTCTCATAATCTATCTTCTCCACTTGGATATCAGACTCATTATCTCATTCATCATTGTATCCTTGGTGCCTAGCATGGAGCCTGGCATACTGTAGGAACTTAATAAATGCTTGTTAAATAAATCATTGAGTTATTACAAAAGACTACAGGAGAAATATTGAAAACCAACCACACAAAGTGGCCAGAATTGAGCAATTCTTTAACCTTCCAGTTCTAGGCCAAGTAATTGATGAACTCTGTAATGATCTAACTACGTTATAGAGAGTTGAGTTTAATCCTTCTTATGAGGATGCAAGAATGCAATGCACTATTTAACTTAGATCCATCATCACTGGAATAACAAGATAGATGGTTCATTTGATTTCTACACTTACATAAATCTCCACTTTCTCTAATTAGGAATGACAAAGACTCACCTTTTAGGGTTTCATGCAGATCAAGAGTTGGTTTAAGGGTTAGATCCACAAAGTTTCCTTGGTTAGCAAATAATTTAAAAAATGAAAGCCATCTGAAGAATCCACTTGCTGTAGCATGTAAATTACTTAATAGAATTTACTTGGTAAACTTGATCTGCTTATGTTGTTTTTTTCATTGTGTGATATGGTTTGAAAAATCAAAATATACAACCAAAAAGTAGGTTAAAAAAGAAATGCTTCACTTCCACACAGGTATAAGCAAGAATCTGAAAACATCTTCCATAGTCTTTTGTCTTAGTAGTTGATACTTAAATAAAGGATTGTATAATATGTCATATCTGTGTAATTCTAAAATAATTTGTCAAATATATTCAAAAGATTAGATGACATTAACTTCCACTGTGCCAAGTAGAACCATTTCATTGAACCTTAAATTTTAAATTGTTTTCCTTGTATCTACTTCAAATTTGTTCATATTTTTCCCTTTTCTAACTCAGAAGGAAAAATGTTCCTTTTCTTCTCCAGGCTAATTGGGCCATCAGGGCCCTTAAATCCAGCCCTTCCTTCCTCTTCTTTCTCCGTCTGGAATCTTACTGTTTCATTTTCAATCTCCCTACTACTATCTTTTCTCCTTTCTTAAAACCCACAAACAAAAATCTTTCCTCCACCTTGTTATTGGTTCAAGCTACTCTCCTTTCTTTTCTCATGCACAGGTTCCAAAGACTTCATATTCATGGTTTCTATTTTGCAATCTGGCTTTTACCCTCAACCCACTCCCGAAATTGCACTCTTGCAGCTCACAAATGATTGCCTAATAAGCCAATCTTTTTGAGCTTTTATCTTTCTTGATATTTCTTTTTGAAATTGGTTATCCTTCCTTCTTGAAACTCTCCTCCTTGGTTTTGGGGATACTGCAGTACCCTGTTTTTTCTCTTCTATAAACTGCTCTTCCTTTCATTCCATTCATGGCCTTTTCCCTCCAACATTTCAAAATAAGGCGCTCCCCAAGGCCCATCCTCTTCTCTTGGCAAGCCCTTCCTTGATAATCTTCCCATCCATGCCACCTTTATGTGAATGATCCCCAAGGATATATCCAGCAAGTATCTCTTCTGTGAACTCCTAACCTATCCTTTCAAATGCCAACAGGACATGTCCACCTTAGTATTCCTGTGGCATCTCAAACACACCTCCAAACTCATCAGCTCCTCCAC